AGTCTAGAGTTCACCTGATTTACCCTCTCTGAAGAAAAGCCTTCTGCTGAGCTTGGGTAGAGAGACTCACCCAGATGGAGGAAGTGGAGGAAAAGGGGGGTCTGCTTCTTAATCATTTATATTCATACTTTGAATACCACTTTGAACTACCTAGTTCTGCTAATTCCAAATCCTTTCTAGGGTTTTAGTTACAATTTTCAAAGTTTTTCTCTTGTCTCCTTTCTTGTTGTCTTTGTCCTTATGCTTTTCTTTCTCTTCTTTAAAAAAAAAACTCTTCACTGCTATTTCATGTGTGTTTTGGAATGGAGCAGCAGTAAATGCACGTGTTTAAATATTTAACTAGAGACCCTACGGGTCTCCTTTCCCCAGTCTTTTACCCTACTCCAATTCACTTTTATACTACTGCCAGAGTGATCTTGATAGAATGATACTCTGTTCTAATCATCTCTTCATTAAAGCCCATCAGTAGCTCCCATTGCCCAATGATAAATTGTTTGCATAATATACAAAGTACGCTGTATAATCTAACCCCTACCTGATTCTCTGGCCTCATTCTTGTTTGCAGCAGCATTCTTTGTCTTTTTTTTTGGTGAGGAAGATTGGCCCTGAGCTAACACCTGTTCCCAATCTTCCTCTTTTTGCTTAAGGAAGATTGTCCCTGAGCTAACATCTGTACCAATCTTCCTCCATTTTGTATGTGAAACATCACCATAGCATGGCTGGAAGAGCAGCGTGTAGGTCCATGTCTGGGATCCAAACCTGCAAACTCCAGGCTGCCAAAGCAGAACACATGAATTTAACCAGAACGCCACTGGGCTGGCCCCTGCAGCATTTCTTTTTAAGAGGTATTGACAGTTTTGCCAACACCCAATGTTCTTTCCTTCTCCATATTTTGGGATGTTCAGTTGATTCTACCTGATGTACCCTGCCCCATCATTGTCTGCCTGCTAGCTGCTCCCATGTCAGGCCATCTCTTCTATGAAGCCTTCTTTACTCATCATTCTCATAGCTTGTTCTACATATGATATCGTCAGCATTTATCATACAATATTGCAGTTATTTATTTACGTCTGTCTTATTTACATCTTTCCTTACTGAAATTTGAGCTCCTTGGTAATAGAAATTATGTCTTAGTTATTTCTGTATCTTCAGAAGTTAGCAATATCTGACATGAACTTGGGGGCCAGTGTCTGTTTCTAATTTATTTGTTCCATGATATGTACACAGCACACTGTATTGGCTTTTGATGGAAAAAGAGATACAAAGCTAACAGACGTGTGTACACAAATATCATTCCATGTTATTAAATATTCTACATTTTAATGGCTACTAAATTTTTCATTATATGGTTATACCATAGTTTATTTAACTAATACCCATTGTTGGGTATTGGTTAATGTTTTCAAATTTGCTATTTTAAATTATGCTACAGTGAGCCTATATGTAGCTAAATTTTAGGGTGCATCCATGGTTATTGGACATAGATAAAATTCTTAGAAGTTAAAATGCTGAATTAGGAGTAATGTCTGTTTTAAAGGCATTTAATTTATAGTTCCTTCCAAGTAAGTTGTACTAATTTGTATTTTCACCACCAGTTCATTAAGGTGCCCATTTTTCTGCACTCCTTTCGTTGTTACTACTTCTGTAATCATCATCACCACCACCACCATCATCATTATCGTCCCTTGCTAAAACTTGTAGGTGAAAATGTTTCCCTTGTTTAATTTGCTTTCCTCTAGTTACTAATAATGTTGCCTATTTTAAAAATGTTTATAAACAATTTGTATTTCATTTTCTAAGTTGCCTATTTGTGTCTTTTGACAATTTTATGTCAGGATATTTTTTTCTCCCACTGTCCCAGTTTTTTTTTTAACAGGCGAATAAGAGGTATACTATAGCAGTGTTTATGAGACTACATTGTTTCCTTTGACAGTGAATTTAATATTATCTAATAATATTTATATGTAAACTTAAAATAAAAATAATTACAGTAGAAAGCTGTGTTTGGGTGTAATGACCAAATCACTTGTTTTCCTAAATTTCTGTGAAAGTCTTTTAATCTTTACCAAAAATATTTGTAGGCAGGCCAAGATGAAGAGAATAGCTGTTTCCTAAACAGAATGGGCTGGCTGGAAGCAATTTTACCAGAATCTTTGGGGATTGGGGGGGAGTCATTTTTAAGGAATATTTTAAACACACAAATAACTTTCTCAACCAATAGCTGTTTAACTAAAGCTATAGAGTTGTGCAAATATCACACAATCCAGTTTTAGAACATTTCCATTATCCCAAAAAGTTCCCTCTTGCCTGCTTGTGGTTAATCTTCATTCCTACTCCAAATTCCAGGCAATCACTTATCTACTTTCTGTCTTTATAGATTTTCCTTTCTGAAGTTTATAAAAGTGGAATCATATTATACGTGGCCTTTTGTGTCTGCTTAATGTTTTCAAGGTTCATCTAATTGGAACATGCATCATCAGTACTTCATTGTACTGTACAATATGGACATACCACATTTTGTGTATCCATTCATCAGTTGATTGACATTTGTGTTTTATTTTCCAAGTATAGATTTAGGTCAACAGTCTACCTTAAGCTGATTTTTGTGCATAGTCAGGGGTAGGAGCTCAACTTCATTTGCATGTAGATATCCAGTAGTTCCTGTGCCATTTGTTGAAAAAGACTATGCTTTCTCTCTCTGAATTGCCTTGGAACCTTTGTCCAAAATGAATTGACCATAAGTATAAGGTTTTATTTCTGGGTTTCCTTTCTGTCCCATTGATCTCTGTGGCTATCCTATGCCAATACCACACTCTCAATTACTGTAGCTTTATAGTGAGCTTTAAAATTGGGTAATGTAATCCCTGCAGTTTATTCTTCTTTTTCAAGATTTTTTTGGTTATTCTGGATCCTTTGCCTTTCCATGTAAATTTTAAAGCTTGTCTATTTCTACAAAACCAGGTTGCTTGGGGCTGGCCCCATGGCCAAGTGGTTAAGTTCACGTGCTCCTCTTTGGTGTCCTGGCATTTGCTGGTTTGGATCCTGGGCACAGACACATGCACCACTCATCAAGCCATGGGGTGGTGGCATCCCATGTAGAGGAACTAGAATGACTTACGACTAGGATATACTACTGGGACTTTGGGGAGAAAAAAAATGAGAAAGATTGGCAACAGATGTTAGCTCAGGGCCAATCTCCTCAAAAAAAAAAAAAAGACAGCAAACCAAAAAACTTTAGCTTTCCAGTCCATCCTGAGGCTCAGCTCCTCCTTCTCCTCAATGTCCTTAAGATGTCCCCATGTCTTTGGAGTAATTTCATCCCCTATTAAGCTTTAAAAATCCCCAGCTTGCTGGAATTTTCATGGAGATTACATTGAATTTGTAGATCAATTTGTGGAGAATTGCCATCTTAACACTATTGAGTCTTTCAATCCATGAACATGGAATATCTCTTCATTGTTTTAGATCTTTAGTTTCTCATAGTAATGTTTTGTAGTTTTCAGTGTACAGGTCTTATACTTCATTTGGTAAGCTTATTCTTAAGTGTTTTAATTCTTTTTGATGCTATTGTGAATGGAATTGTTTTCTTAATTTTATTTTCATATTGTTCAGTACAGTTATTTTCTAATAATGGCAAAACGTGTATGGTCTATTTCCCTCCACATTTTGACTGTTACTAGCATTTTACTTCTAGTATGATATACAATTTAATAGGCCTACAGGAACCAATCACTAATTCATATCATGGGACCAGAACTCTGGGCAGTTAAGTGCCTAGGTGCAGTTTTTGCATTGAAAGAATGAAACTCCTAAAAAATTTAAAGCATGTTAATACAGAAATAGTCCTGAGAATTCAATTTGAAGACATGACAAAGTGTTTATAGTAAGGTTCTCTTAATAATGCTGACTTGTGTTTCTCGACATTTCATTGATTTTTAAGATTTTTATAGATGTACTCCTTTGCGTTTAATATGTATCAATCAGCAAATTAAGTAGATTGTGCTTGTGTTGACACTTTTTGGCCTCAAGTTAATGGTTTGTTGTAGTGCTCGTTTTTGCTTCCATCACATTGAAAAATGTTATTTAGAGAGGAAAAATTGAACTTTGCAGTTAGTTATTACAACAAAAAGGAGATGTATTTTGCCAGCCTCAGTGTACACTGTTTTTCTAGCCTTTCAGTAGACAACCATCATTTAAATCACTTGTTCTTAAAGTGTGATCTTGCAGAATGCCTATGTGTTGTAAGACAGAATGAGGTATTATACTTTAAAAACTGAATAACATTGGGGCTTTTCCAATTGGCTGAAGAAAATGAAACTATATTGTTCCAAACTTTTAGTTTTTCCCTTGTAGAAAGTTTTTCTTAAATCTTTCGCACCAGTTATTGCTTATCGTCTAGTGAGTATTAATGAACACTAATATGAATGATCAAGGTTATTTGCACACATTAATAGAAAAACTCAGATTATCATGCTTACTTCAACAGCTTATTTTTACTACAGAAAGTTACTGTTTTTATATGGTAAAATTAATGGTATTTTGTGTCGCTCTGGGCCTGAGCAAATTTAAGGACTACCAAGTTTAAAAAATCATTAGAAAGAAACAGAAATGTGGATATATTCAGTGTACTAATTTGCTTATAGGCAGCAAAAACCTACCAAAGTCTACACCCTCAATTTAATGACCAAACTGTAGGTCACTTACAGGCTGCAATGAGTAAAAAGCACTTAACACTTCTCTTCAACAAAACATAAATGTCTAGTAGACTGTTACTTGTCTAGAAGCTAGGGAGAGCAAATCGGGAATAGTCTTGTCCACTGTTTTTACAGTTTCCAAGCAGATAGACAAATCTTTTTCTTCTTCTGTATTTTCTATACGTAAAGCTATTAAAATCGATATGTAAAGTTTTATGAATTATATGTTGAAAGGAAAATGTAAGTTATTATGTTCCTGAGATATTTTCACCTGAGTATAATGATGCCTGACTTTTGCCCCTACAGACATCCTGCAAAGAAGGGTAGAAGAGGTAACACTGGCTTTCGAGGATGATTGTTGCAAGGAGCAGGAACGCAACATCAGGATTCTTTTTCGTTGAGTGACCATGTCTTCAGGATGTTGTTTTGGGATTATACATTACCTACAAATTTTGATGATGTTAAATAGAGTAGCATTTACAATTACTAATTAATCTTTGGTTGTGATAAAGTGTTTGTGTATTTGGCTTTTTTTTCCATTTAAATATTGCGCTGTTGAGATTATACTGTAGTTTGGCTTTTAGTATTAGTAAATCAAAAACTATATTAGCCCTTTTGTCTAGGCAGCAACCTATTAGATTTTGACTCTATGTTTGCAATTTGTATCTTATTTTCCTAGATTCCATATCTTACCACCAGCACACACTGTCCTTCTCACTCCAGCCAGATTATAGAGAAATGTTTGCCAAAAAATAAATGCCAACCAATCTTTACTGGGTGCTTGTTAACATTTAATGTACACTGTATAGTGCTAAACACTGTAAAGTCTCGCTCCTCAAAGAAACTTACTAGTTTGAGATATAATTAATGCCTGTCTGTATAAAAACAATATAGACAATACAAGGAAGTGCGTTATAAATTACAGAAGCGTTATGAATTACAGAAAGTGTGCTATAGAAATTCAGAGAAGGAAAGAAAAGTTCAGGTGGATTTGGGACTCAAATTAGGTTACTTTTGAAAGGGCAAGGTTCAGGCAGTTTATTTTTGGTATACAGACATCCTCATGTTTTACTTGGTTTTACTGTATGAATCCTAGTTGTTGATTTTTGTGTATTTTTTTTTTAAGAAAAAGCTCTGTTCTTAGTTTGGGAATAGTCTGATCTCTTGTGTTTCATGTTTCATCTAAGTCATAAATAAAGGTAATGTTCTAAAAAATAAAAGTATAATATCAAAATAAACTACTTAGAAGTTTTTGAGTGACTAGAGTTTAATTGCCTATAATTACTGAGCTGAATTTCTGTTGTAGTGACTACACATGACCATCCTGTGGGGTATATGTTATGGGAAGAAAATATTTTTGAAATGAATATTAGTGATTTTCATCACCTTATGAGTAAACTAAATATTACAACTTTACATGGTTTCTTTTTTCCTAACCAAATTTCTCAAAGTAGCAGCTTCTTATCAGGTAAGTTTTTCTTACCACTCAAAATTATAGAATATGAAAATAATCCAGAGACTATTTAATTTTGTGGATGATTTCTGTCAGTAAACAGCTTTTGAGTATAATCTTAAGTAATCTCTAATCTTTGAGACCAGTATTATTACTATTATACCCTACATAAAGACATTTTCCCTATTGTTTTTGAAGATTCAACTCTTGTAAAGTATCCCCTGCGTAAGTTAAGTTCCACGTTCTGTAAAGAGAATATAGTGTATTGGAGGAAACACTGGATTTAGTCTTGTCCCTGCCTGAATAACTGGACAAATAATTTCATTTTGGGCACTGTCTTTTGTCTGTAACATGAAAGAGACCATATTAAGGTTTCCCAACTGAAACTAGTTTTCATTTCTCTGAAGTTTTGCGATTTCCTTTCACTACCAGTAAGTGCTTACTGTAAAGTTCCTCAGTAAAATAAAGAGGAGGCTACAGTACTCCTATTGACTTTGCACTGGAGGTTCTAGTGTTTTTTCCGGGACACAGAAGAGGCCAGTGGATGGCAAGTGGCTTCCAGATCAATACAGTAACACTGTAAGATTCACTAGTAGATCTCCATGTACTGTCTGGAATCTTGAGGCTTGGACTAAATCACCTCTAAGGTTCCTTCTGGTTCTGGTTCTAACCTGTGTCTAAAACACATGACATCACTGAACAAATATTAATTAAAAGATCAGAAATAACCTGTTTTGGGCAGTAATTTTAAAGCAACATTTATATTAGGTACTGGAGTCTTGAGCCCCTCCTAACCATTGTTGAAGACCAGCTAAGATATTAGCTGAAGGAGAATCTTAAATTTATCATGTTGACACTTTCCTAGTGCTTATCTACTTTTTTGTCCTTTGAAAAAGATGCTATATTTATTCTCTCTGTAACAGCATTTATGCTATCTCATTTGGGGAATTTGAAAGACATGCACAGTTGTTTACTCTTAATGTTAGATGAGTGATGCTAACCATCTTCAAGAGAAGATTTTTTGGTTTTGTCATCTTCTTCCATATCTGGAAATTATAATTGCTTCATAATATATTCATCAGAAGTGTGCTGTGAACAAAGCACCTAAAAAGGACCAACTCTGGAAATATATCTATGTTAAGGAGGAACTTCTGGCTTAATTAAACTAACCTTGTTAAATTGTCAGAAAGACAAATGAGACATATTTTCCAGTTGGTCATAAATTCTTTTAGGGGTGAAATTGTGAAATTACCTCATGGTAAGATCTCTGTGCCCATGAATAACACCTAGAAATCTCAAAGCTTTTTATTCACTGTCTGAGGAAAGTGGGGAGAGGGATGCCGTGGGAAATGGAATAGCTATCATTCCACAGTTAATAAGTTTGGCAGAGCTAGAAATAGCCTGGATTTCCTTCTAGTGCAATTTTCTGAATGTTTGTCCCTTGGTACCTACCACTTGGACTGGCTACAGTTATACACACACAGTACTTCCTTATGACCTTGCTTTCTAGTTGCAGTTCCACCCTATGTATGTCTTTTTAGCCATTCATTCTCCACTCATCCCACCTAGTGGATTTGTAATGTAGTGTATACCACTTCAGTGCCAGTAGGATGCATGTTATATTAGAAGTTGTATACAAGTCTGGTGTGATGGTCAGTGTAGTATTTGTTTCACCCTTTGCCGCCTTCCCAGGGGACAAACACATTAGGAACCTTGGTGTATTTTTCCATTTCCTTATTGATCAATGTGTCAATAGGAGAGTTTGGTTGAGCAGCAGAATTCAGCCCCATCACTATAGGATTTATCTGGGGCAGGCTATGATATGACCCACACTTTGTTTATGCTTACATTCCGTCCATGTTCTGTGCCAAAGTCACAAAGTGGTGCATGTTATATCTGCATTCATTCACCTCTGTGCTTCAAAAGCAGTCATTTGTATATGACTGGTTTTGAATAACTAATACTTTCCAAGACATTTCCAATCTGTTAGAAGTTCTCAGGATAAGAAGTACAATGTCTTCCAGTAGCTGCTATTTGGTCATATCCTCTAACTTGAGCATGGCAATACAGACAGTCTGAATAAGTCTGAACCTACTGGATAACCTTGAAATATTTGCTCATAGATGACCACCCTATCAAGTGACTTTATTAATTCTTTTCCTTTTTTTGAGGAAGATTAGCCCAGAGCTAACTGCTGCCAGTCCTCCTCTTTTCGCTGAGGAAGACTGGCCCTGAGCTAACATCCATGCCCATCTGCCTCTACTTTATACGTGGGACTCCTGCCACAGCATGGCGTGCCAAGCAGTGCCATGTCCGCAGCTGGGATTGGAACCAGTGAACCCCAGGCCGCCGAGAAGCAGAACGTGTGAACTTAACCACTGTGCCACCGGGCCGGCCCCTCAAGTGACTTTAAAACCATACTTTTGTATAGTACTTTACAATTACCCTATTCTGAGGTATTACCCCCACTTTACACATGAAAAAACTGGCCTACACTAGTTAAAGAAACTCATTGAAACTCAAATAGTCCCGTAACTTGAAAAACGTAAGTTAAGTCCTGATTGCCTACTATGTTAAATTGTCAATAACCGGGCACTGAGAAATCCAAGGAGTGTGACCCCCAAACCCATGCTCTTTTTTCTTCTTTGGCTCTTTGTGATAGAAGAAGGGTTCCCTTTAATAAAAAAATATTATTGACTAGGTAATTATGTGGTTCAAAATTCAAAGGGTACAAAAAGATACAGTGAAGAGTTTTTCCCACCCTCGTCCCTCACTGTTCAGTTCCCCTGCCTGGACGTTTTTACTTACCACTTGTCTGTATGTTTTCCCAGAAGTATTTTATGCATATAGAAACACACACATACATATATTCCGTGTTTTTTACTCAAATGGAAGCATGCTATATACATTGTTCTGCACCTTGCTATTCTACTAAATATATTTTAGAGATTGTTCAATAGCAGTCCATACAGAACTTTGTCATTTTTGGGACTGCTGCATAGTTTTCCTTTGAATGAATGTATCACATTCATGGACATATGTTTCCAATATTTTGTTATAAACAATGCTGCATTGAACATTTTATATATATATATATGTATATGTATGTATGTATACACACATACACATACTTGAGGACACACTGTATTGAGGATAATATTCCTAGACACTGAATTGCTGCATTAAAGGGAATGTGCATTTAATTCAATTGTATCCTCAAGTTCCCTTTGGTAGAGGCTTTACCAATTTATGTTCCTACCAGCAATGTACTGAGAGTGTCTATTTTCCCACAATCTCAACAAAACAAGCGTGTTCTCAAACTTGTGGATCTTTACCAATCTAGTAGATGAAAAGTGTTATTTTAGTGTACTTTTTAAAAATAAACTTTATTTTTTAGAACAGTTTTAGATTTACAGAAAAGTTGCATAGTACAGACTTCCATACACCTTCACTCGGTTTCCTTTAGTGTTAACATTTACATAACTCTGGTATACTTGCCACAACTAATGAACCTTATTATTAATGAAAGTGCATCATTTATTCATATTTCCTTAGTTTTTACCTAGGGCCCTTTTTCTGTTCCAGGATCCCATCCAGGATACCACATGACATTAGTCATCACGTCTCCTTTGGTTCCTTTGGTTGTGAAAGGTTCTCAGACTTTCCACGTTTTTTAAGAGTTTTGAGGAGTACAGTTCAGTTATGTTATAGTCCGGGCCTGAATACATATGGATTTGTGATTCTCAGGATAGGAAATACAATGTCTTGTAAAACTCTGTTACAGACAGAGGAGAACCATCAGTGCAAGTGACGTCGTCACACTTGTCTGATCACTGGCTACACTGTGGAGGACGGATCAGAGGCTGGATTGGAAACATCAGGTAGGCCGGGTAAGTCCTTGAAAGCAGAAGCAGGGGGGATGGGGCACATTCAAGAGAAATTAGAAGAGCCAGGTTTGGTGATACTGAATGAGAAAGTCAAGAAGTCGCCTAAGTTTATGAGCTGCATATTTTGCCTTTAACCTCTACGAGAAATTCAAGAGAAATATTTTAACAATTTACAACATACCGGTTACTCCATACGTACTCTCTTTCCGTTTCTTTAGCTCTGCCCTACTACAATTCCCAGAGCCTCGCGCTCCACCACAATCCCCTTAGAGTCTGCCGCGCGGAGTTCTGGGACTTGAAGTCCGCGGCCTATTTACCCAAGTTAGAGATAGGGGCCTGTGGAAACATGAAGAGGTAAGGGCTTGTCTCAGAGGAGGCGGCGAAGGGAGCTCTGTTCGAACTTTTAACTTTTAAAATGGCTTTTATTACTTTGTATTTGGGGTCTGTCACGTTCTCGGGATGCAGTTTCGTGTGAGCGGGAAGACAAAGGAGGAGGGAGGAGGGGAGACGGGCTGGACAGGCCTGCAGGGTGAAGTTGCGGAAGGGCCGCCGCTGCCTCCGGTTCCCGCCGGCATGCCCTCCCGGCACAGGTCTCTAGGCCACGGCGCCGGCCCCAGGAGCTGGACGGATGCAGTGGCTTCTTCCCGTTTCAGACGGACCCACCCAGGTAAAAGGGTCTTGGCCAACTTGATGCCCAGCGCCGGAGAAACCCAGACGAGCTCCGCCTTGTCCCGCCCTCCCTCCACCTCACCCTCAGAGAGAGGCTCAGGGTGGGCGCGTTTATTTGCAGTGTTTGTGTGCTAAAGAAGACTTGCTCGGGCCCTGAGAGCAGGTAGCGCTTTCAGATCTTAAAGTAAGCAAGTTATAATTTGTTTCTACAAATTTAGAAGGATACAAAGCCGGTTCGATGTATTATGGGA